CTTGATTTTGTTTTCCTTTTCCCCCAGATGTCCACGTGGCTGTCCCTCCCACACCTTTTATCAATGGTCCCCTCATCCACGGCCACCGTCTTCCACAGTGAGCTCTTTCCAGATGCTCTCCAAGCCCCACTCCGCCTCCTGTAAAACTCGTGATCTCCTGACGTTAGACGTTCGTGTGTTTGTTTGTTAGCTGCCTGATGAAGGCAAGGAGCTTAGTGGTGTCCTGCCTCTGCTGTATCCTTAATGTTGAGGGCGCTGCCCGACTCCTGACAAGCATTTAATGGATATGTGTTTAATGCCTGTGCTACGGCGCGTTGGGCAGTGTGCTAAGTGCTTCATGTGCGTTCGTTCCTTCAGTCCTTACAGCAGTCATAGCTGCAGCTGTAATCATTATATCACTGAATGACACGATTTAACACCAGACGTCTAGTGACTGCGTAAGCCCGGCCTGGAACGCAGGTGTGGTTAATAAGGACAAGCTCTTAACCTCTCTGTCATTCTAACAACGTACCTGAAGTAAAAGTCGGCTTTTCCTGAATAAAGCTTCTGACGTGAGTTCTGATACGCTATTAATTTAAATTTTGTCAGTTAAAATACTCGTGTCTTCAATTCATTTAATTAAGTAGCAACTATGGAACAGTAAAGATTCCTGGAACTGAACTCACATAAATAGATAAGTTATTATTACTTCATATTAGATGAGATAAATTATGTGAAACAGACATGTTTTATACTTAAATATTCATTGATTAAATAGAGAAATAGCATGTACTGGCATTCAAAAGCAGTTTTTCTTCCCCCTTTCCACTTTTCCTCTTGATATGTCATATTTTCAATGATCATTTTGTGAATTCTCATTTTATTTTAAAAACATGTAAGCGATAGTAAGTAAAATTTCAGCATGCACATTTAGGACACTGTCTTATGAGTGATAGTTGCTGTGCATTAGGTCAGCTATTACCAAAGGCCATTTATTAGACATTGGTAAGCACTATACTGTAAAGTGCACATTACTGTATAGTAGATATTGTATGTTTCCCAAAAGATCTTAAAAAAAGAGGAAGCGTTACGGGAGTAGAAAGTGTTACTCAACTGTAATGCGTATAAACGTGCATTTACACCTTTCAGTTCTGGGGATATTTAAACACTGCTATAGAAACTTGGTCAACACTCAGACACACTAGTGACTTATGTTTGTCCACGAAGGCTTTTGTTGACCAGTTGGATACTTGCTTAGCACAGAAGGGACAGTTTGAGAAGAAGGTCACCGTCTCCGGTCACTGTGAAATTGCTCAGTCATTACCTGAACGGCCTAGCCCTAGGTGGAGGGCGGGAGGGGCCAGCATGGCCGCCATGAGTGAAAAAGACAGGCACGGTGTGACACGTCCTGAGTGGGCTCTTGGTGCGTTCCTCTATGACCTGCAGAACATGACTTCACATTGAATTCCAGCACAGGAACAGCTGGCACAGCGACCAGATGTGGTTTGCAGATTAGCTGATGCCAACCATTCTCCTTCAGAAGGGCCTGCCTGCGTCGCCCGGACCCCCCACCCCCCACTCTTCCCACCTGCCTGACACACGGGCTTCTCCCCAGCTTCTCACTGGACATGGCCTTAGGGCAGAAGCCCCAGCTGACCACCCCCAGGGCCCCCTGCACCGTCACACGCACGGCGTACGTTTCAGCGGAGCGCTTGGTCTGGCCGTCTCTCAGGCTGTTCTGTGTTCTTCTCCAGCTCTTTTCTTCCCCAAATATTGATTTTTAAAGGACTTCAACATATAGGGTACCTGAAAAAGCTGACCTTCGGGTGCCTGACCTGCTGCAGGAGGACGGTATTGGGCGTGACAGAGGGAGCCCTGTGGCTTCACTCTTCTCTCTCCAGTGGCAATTTCAGAGAACTTGCAGTTTCATGTAACCCCTTCTGCCCCAGAACACAGAGTGGAAAGGAAGCCCCAGGTGGTAGGTTGTCCTGCAGGAGATGGAGAAGGTGATGTGCAGTCTGGACCTCACCCGCCAGGTGCCTCTGGGCAGTGGCTCACAGACATTGTGGTCCACGGGGATTACACAGCCATGATGGAGCTGTGAGTAGCTAGCTGCCCGTGGAGAAGCTGAGATTTATGCATGGACACTAGGAAAGCCTTGATACAAGAAAGCAGTCCCCGGTGAATCCTAATTGGTAGAATGATGGGGCTTTCATTAGATGATAAAGAAGCAGATGATTAGGATGGAAACGATTTAGAAGGGCAAAGACTAAATGAAGTACTAGCTAAAGTTGGCAACAGTTTCCTAAGGAGGATATTTAAGATTAAACACTTATAGTTAGATCGTATGATTTAAGGTTGTAACACCTATTCAAAAACTACAAGTATTTATGAGGGAAACTATCAAGTGCCAAAACTGATCTAATTGTTGAGGTCATACAAGTGAACAAAACAGAAAAAAAAAAAAATTCCTGCCCTGAATATTGTTACATACTCCATTTCAGCTGAGTATTTTGATGGGTTGATTAAAAATGCCACTAAAAAGAGTAAAACAATTTCATTTATTAAAGTATTACAAAGAAAGACACGTACTTATAAGTGAACAAGAAAATTATTTTATGAATGTATTTGACAACTTTAAGGGAAAAATATTGCAGGAGAATTAGATTCCTAACTTGCTCTATGTGAAATGCAGTACTATGTATGCATAAAATGTGGCAAATGTGCTGATGTCCTATAAATATTTTCCTAATAGTTATCGCTCTAAAAAATATAATCATTAAAAATAATATTTCCCGAAGCAAGGGGAAAGATGGATTTCATAGAGAGCTGGAAACCAATTTTAATAAGTCAAGTTAGAGGTCAGGCTTCAAAGCTGACAGTGGGACACAAGGCTGTGATGGAGTGTCAGGTGTGGTGAACTTTCCAGGAGAGTGACAGCTGGGGCAAATGATGGGACGAGTACAGATTGTCAGTGGGAATGTACCAAATTAGTTCCTGACTGCACAAATCCTTCAGATATACTTTTTCAAAGTTTGAAATACTTAGAATGGAACTCTGAGAAAATTAATTCAAAATTAAGTCAACAAATATTGATGAAAACTACATTGTTTAATATCAGCTATTCAGTATAAAATGTAACAAAGTATGAACATGTAACGTAAAGGTATTATAACATATTTTTTTGATGAAGTCTTTTCTCCTAAGGTTTTCTAATTAATGTCGTTACTGTTAGAGTGCCTTAGGAAATTTCCCATCTGAAATTCATGATCGTCTCTAAGACCAGGTTCCTACAAATAGACTCATTAGGGAGAGAACTCTTAGCCTGTAGGAGGTGTGCATGTCTGTGTGCAGTTCTGTCAGGTGACCTTCTGGGCAATGATGCGCCTATGGAGTTTTAAAAGCCAGACCATCTTTTATCTATCTTTATTTAAGAACTGTTTGGAAAGTAAATGCCAATATTTTAAACGTTGATTGTTATATATTTAGTTAATCAGTGCATTGTAGACTGATTTTTAGCTAATTATTTTTAAGTAAGTATCAAGCAACTGAAAAGGTGACTAAAGTAATCTTGTCACATTTTTATATGTCAAACTATAGCTGTTAGATATGGTGCTGCAGACAAACCGATAAGCAAGGGGAGGAAGGTTGTTTCCATGGTCAAGGCATTCCCGACCCTGTGAAAAAGACAGATCTGTAAGTCAGTAATTACACGAAAGTAAAGCAGCATTAGGAGTAGGCATCCTTCACATCGTTGTGTCAGCATCCATGGCAAGGGGGGTTGTATTTCCGGGGGGCAGTTAGGAATAGCTCGTCTTCTCCTGACTCCTCCAGCCCTGGCCCTGGCTGGAACCCTGCTCCCGTTAGTGGGGCAGCTGACCCTCTCGGAGCATCACCTGACCTGCAGCAGTGCTCCGCCAAGAACAGGTCGAGATGGGAAGGGTCATGGCTAGGATGACGTCAGGGTGGGTGCTGTGATGCCTCAGGAAAGTGAACCTGCACCCCTGACTTGGGAAATTCATTTCTTCTGCTCTCTTCTCAGACCCAGGTTAAATTATTAATGTTGAGACTGGAGTTCAGGCTGACATTTGATTTCCAAAACATCTCTCTTGATATGGGGGGTGGGGAATGCCTTTATTTTTATTTTTTATATTTTTTGTAAACTTTTTTTTAATTAAAATTTACTGGGGTGACAATGGTTAGTAAAATTACATAGGTTTCACATGAACAATTCCGTAATACATCATCTATATATCACATTGTGTGTTCACCACCCAGAGTCAGTTCTCCTTTCTTAAAGAGGAAGTCAGTTGAAATATTTTTGTATTCCAAATTTTGTCACGTTTGTTGGGTCTGTCGTTTCTCTGATTTGCTTGGTCTTTGCATGTTAGGGTATTTCCTATTTTCCTTTTAGAGTCTCCGTTTCTGTTTTCTTTCTTTAAATTTTTATTCATATTTGAAGTTCCCATTTGCCATGCTGTAAAGAAATTGGCACCGTTTATTGTAGAACAGAATATAAAGTTTGAAAGCGCCTGTGGAGATGATGTGTCCCCCCATCTCATTTAAAGTGGAAAGGATGAAGCTGTGAGGGTGGGGCGTACTTACTCAAGGTCACACAAGGTCGGGCCTACTGGAGACCTTGACTCTGGGCTCCTGAATCCCACTTCACTCTGCTTTTCACTCAAGTGCAACCAAATGTGTATACAGACTCTCTGAGTCCCAACTGCATTTGAAGTGGACTGATTTGACGTGACACTGTCGTGGTGCTAGCATCGGTTAGGGCATTCTGGGAATGGCAGTGCCTTGGTACATGCATATAACACCGATTTCCAGTTTAACCTTCAGATACTGAATGAGGGTCCTGACGGCTGAGCAAAATGCACTTGCCACATTGAGGGCATGAACCATCGTTTATCATAATTGTCAGATGGATAGCGGACTTGAACTTCTGCGTGCATGTCGTGTCTTTGCCGCACAGGCGACCCACTGTGGGGAATGACACCGTCTCTCTGTGTTTCCAGCTAGAACGTGTGGATCAAACCTGCGTGGGCCCAGTGGCATCATCACCTCCCCCAACTACCCAGTTCAGTATGAGGACAACGCACACTGCGTGTGGGTCATCACCAGCTCGGACCCAGACAAGGTGAGGCTCGCATGGCCCCTGGGCAGCTGGCGCAGGCCAGGCCTGTCTGACGGGCACTGGGAGTGTCAGGGTCCCTACGCTCTGTCGTTTGCGTCGAGCAGCTCACGCTGCATGTGTCTGTACACCCACACTTGTCAGAAAGCCAGTGTAGGATCCAGCTATAAAGTGCGTATTGTCAGAGCGGTGTCTGCTGATGGTTCTGGGCTCACACTGGTGCTGTCTTCCAGTTTCACTCAGATATAATTGGTGTATAATATTGTATTGGTTTAAGGTGTCCAGCATAATGATTTGATACATGTATGTGTTGTGAAATGATTACTGCAACAAATTTCATATGCATACATTACCTCACATAGTTAGACATGTTTTTCTTGTCACGAGGACACTTAATATCTACTCTCTTCGCAACTGTCATGCACACACATAACGCAGTGCCATTAGCTACAGTCACCGTGCTGCCATTACATCCCCAGACTTACTTATAACCGGAAGTGTGTACCTTCTGACCGCCTGCACCCACCCACCCTCCACCCCTGGCAACAGCCGTTCCGCCCGGTTTTTATGAGCTCAGCCTGTTCTTAGGTTCCACATACGAGTGGGATCGGACAGCACTTGCTTTGCTCTGGGCTTTCCTATTACACACAGGGGAGCTGCCGGAGCCACCATTGCTGCTGTGACAGGCTCCCCGTGCTCTGTTGTCCTTATCAGTGTGTCCTGGGCCACCACCTCTGCTAATCCAGACCGCACATGCTCCTCAGTGACTTATTGACGGAACTTCCATGACAGGCCCACTGTTCGCCCGGCCCTGTATGTGCATTCACTTCCCTGAGCCTCAGCCCTCATCTGTGAAAGATAGAATATAATGATTGTATTTGATTCCAAGGGTGCTTGTGAAGACGACATAAATGGATACAAGTGCCTAAGTCAGTGAAGCATAGTTTCTGTGATAAGCTATTTGCTCTGGCAGTGGTAACACAAACACACATATGACTAACAGAACACAAATTACCCATGATTTGATAACCGTTTACCTAGCCCTTGCATTAATTTTCTCATCAAAAGAAGACATTTATTTAAATTTGTATTAAAATATGTAGCATATTTCTAGTTTAGCGATAAGTCTTTTATTTTGTTCTGCCTTTATACACTTTTAAAAAACTAGTATGTTCTGTTTGTGTGGTTCCCAGCAAGTTCAGTCATATGAATTGAAATTTGGAAAAGTCCTCATGGACTTTGGGGAGGAAGTATGAAAACAATGGAGTTTCTTTGTCTTGGGGACACATTCAGTGTTGAATTGAATTGATGATAAATAACTTACATCCGTTTTCACAGGGTTCCAAATACAACGAGGTGTTTTATGTTACAGGGGCAGAGATGTCACTGGTTAAAAGTGTGTGGGGCATTTGCAAAATACCTATTTATTTAATTTCACAATTTGAAGGCGTCGCTACCTCTTTTCTTGGATGCTTTCTTTGAAAAGAAAATACATCTAAAAGGAACCAATCGTGTTAAACCAAGGGAGTGAGTTAGTGAGCCAGTGAACGTTTGTTGTAGTTCTGTGGGTAGTCCGTGAGTCTGTCCCAGAGGGAGGCCGTGGGAGGGCAGAGCGCAGCCCCCGACGTGCTGCCTGGGCACCTGCACGCCCCCCACACGCTGGACCCACCGCCCTGGCTCCCTGCCCTCCTGCACGGCCGCGGGGCCAGCACCTCCCTTCAGCTGCTCCCAGAGCCTCACCTTCTGCCGGCGGCTCTGCCACCTACAACCAGTGACACCGTCAGGAGCCCCCTTAGTCAGCGTGACACAGGCAGGAGCCTGGAGTGACAGGGACTCACTCCACCCACGGAGGACCATGGTTCTCCCTCCAGTGTGTGCCAGGCGGCGTGTTCTGAGGTGCGTTTCCCATGGCTCTGCAGACCACCCCGCAGGCCTGAGCCGACTGCTGCTGGGGGACCGCTGGGAACCGCTGGGGGATCACACCCGGTGGTGGGCCAACTCTTATCTGTCCCTCGTCTCAGTTTCCTTCGGATCATTCCCCAGGAGAGGAGCTGTGAGCAAAATGGTGTTCTAGGGGACAGCCACGAGAAGACAGTCGCAGACACCGGCAAGGATGAAACCTCTTCCGATGGCCTTTCATGTTGGGAAGGGGAACCTGCAGCGACGGCTTGAGGACAGGTGGCAGGCAGAGCAGGAAAGCCCTGCGCGTCCCCAGTGTGAGCTGTCAGACCAGAGCAGGCACCTGGGCGTGGTGAAGGGAAAGTTCCCAGCGGTGTCAGCGCCGTCAGCAGGCCTTGGGGATGGGCCAGCCCGGGACTGAGGGGCAGTCATTTTAATTTATAAATTCTCGAGAATATTTTTTTCTGATGAAAATGACTGCTTATGTTTCACAGATTTTTCTTTATAAAGAATAAGTACCGGGCCGGCCGAGTGGCGCGTTGCTTAAGAGCTGGCTTTGGACGCCAGAGGGCCCCGGTTCAGATCCCACATATGAGGGCCAGTGACACTGCCCTCCACAACTAAGATGCTGAACAACAGCTCAACCTGGAGCTGGGCTGCCGTGAGTCGCCGGCGATGGTGTAGGCTGCAGCCCCTGTGGCAGTGGGCTGCTGTGAGCTATGGTGTGTGGCTGGCAGCCGGCGTGAGCTGCCAAGAGCCACCGTGAGCGGCCGTCCAAAAGCCGGCGACCAATCTGTCTCGCGCGGGAAGAGCGCGATGATGGTGCCAACTTGGGCCAGTGAAGCGACGTCCTATACAGCTAGACTGAAGAACAAAACAATAGCAACTTGTCTGTTCCCCTTCCCCCAATTCCCCAATAAAATATTTAAGAAAAAAAACCAAAAAGAATAAGTACCAGCACCAAACTACCATTTAATTTAGTAGAATTCTAGAGAAAAAGGGACCTTGAAAATGCTAAAGATCACCTCCCTCATTAAAATAAAAATGCCTAAATAGATATATACACATGTGAGAATACATGCACCCACACAATATTTTGTCTGTCACTGTGTGCTGGTATGGGGCCGTTCACTCATAACAGAGTCTAAGTAACAACTGAGAAATCTACTGGGTTTGTCCTGTGTCAAGGCCATGGACAAAAACCATTTTTACAGCAGAGTACATTTTAAAATTAACTTTATACTACCCTGATACCTTTCCATGAGTGAGGAAAAGAAAAAAAACATTAAGGGAGGACCAAGGTGATATTTGAAGGGAGGTCAGCTATTTTAATTGCTTTCAGATGAAACATAAATCGGTATCAATGCACAGAACTATACTGACTTATCTTTTATTACCTAGAGTTGTAGGCCACCTTGGACTGGTCCGTTTTTGGGTGTTGCCTTCTTGCAATTGTTTTGTAATCTTCAGAAAAAAACTCTTCTGAAAGTTGGCCATGTTCCTATCTCAAGACCCGCCCTGGTCCCCCTTGAGCTAATCATGCTTGGGTCCCTCCCACTCAGCCAGAAACACTCCAGGTCGGCGTGCGGTGGGATCCAGGTGTCAGATGCCACGTTCCATTCTCAGCCCCCCGTGACATCATGACCTGTCCGTAGCATTTGACACAGCTGATGACAGTGCCTCTCGGGAACACTGGCCCATTGCCCACCTGCTCCCCTCTGCCCCTTCTCTGATGCCACTAAGTCCCCCTCACCTGTCAATGCTGGAGCCCTCAGCGTCCTCCTGGTCCTTTCTTCTCTCCACCTCTTGTCACCCTGGCCCTGGAGCTAGACATACTGTCATCCATGTGCTGACCTCTTCCAGAGCTTTCTCCAGCCAGGCTTCTCCTCTGAACTCCGACACGTGTGTCTGCTTGTCTACTCGACCTCCCCCGTTCCACATCCAGCAGGCGTCACAAACACCACAGGCTCACAAGCAAAACTCTGGATTTTTCTCTCAAAACCCGTTCCCACCATCATCTTCTTAGAAGATGGCAGTTCCTTGCTTTTCCAGTTGCTCAGGGGGCGATACTTTATTGCCACTTCTGGCATCCGTGAGCAAGCCGTCCGTTCTCCAAGCCTGCTGCTGGTCCCGCCCCGGTCTCGGCACCTGGGTGGCCGCAGCTGTCTCCCACCCGACTTCTGCGCTTCTGTTCTTGCCCTTGTTTGGTCTACTCTCCACAGAAAAACTGGAGCAATTCTTTTAAATCACTTTGCCTAGGCCATCTCGGGGCTCAGTGATCACGCGGTACCAGTGGGGTAGGGGGGTGCCCTGCGGGAACAGGATGCCGGCGCTGGCAGCCCCGCCTCTTAATTCTTCAGGGGAAATTATGAATCTAGAAATTCATGCATCATCCTCACTTTTATTTTTTTTTCCTGGAGGAATGAAAAGCTTTATTGTTAGAGGAAAAAAATTATTCTCTTTGCTGTCAAGTATATACAAGAACCAATGATTAGAAGTTTCTATACAAGGGTGAAATTACTTATACTCAATCTTTTTTTTTTTGACTTGTATTCATCATTTGTTATTGGTATATATTGAGTATTACAATTTTAATACAGTTTTCCTTTTTTAAAATGTGCATACATTTTTTTGGCACCCTTTGTATATACCATATCTTCTTTTTTATTTATTTTAGGACTGTCTTGCTTATTTTTTTATTAAATTATTTTTTATTATGAAATACACATTTTTTAGAATTAGTTTCAGCTGTACAACACACTGCAATAGTTATACTTTTTACCCCTCGAAGTGACAACCCCCCTTCCCCAATCCGCCGCCCCATTTCCCCCCAATATCATACATATCATCCTCACTTTTAAGTGTTGGTTCGGACACGAAACACCGCGTGGGTGGGATTGGGTCACGTGGCCCCCAGTTCTGCACACTTTGCATAAAAATTGCCTGGCACAGTGTCGCATGAGCGTTCGATGCCTTTTCTCTAACATGGATATATTACCCCAGTGAATAAACAGCCTTAATGGAAGAAATACTCATCATCTACATCCAAGAAAAGCAAAAACAGCATCAACCATGAAATATGGGACAGGAGGCTGTTGCATTAATTA